CCTTTGTCATCAGTCTAACTAGGAAAATGGAAGAGAGACACCACACAAAGTGGCTTGTTAAGAAAAAGAAGCTGGTGCAGCGGAATGAACTAAATTTAAATCCTAGAGCAGGACTGGCACCTGTTGTATCTAAGAGGAAGGCCATGCAAGCAACTACAACTAGGCTGATTAACAGAATATGGGGGGAGTTTTATTCAAACTACTCTGCGGAGGAGTCAAAGGAGGTGATTGTCAGTGATGTTAAGGATGATGAAGAATTTGAAGAGCAAGATGAAAATGAAGATGACGATGCTCCGGAGGAGGACAATATAGAAGTTCCTGTGAAAACTGAAAAACTTTGCACTACTACCAGGCAAACTAAATCTTGCTCTAATGGCAAAGAAGTAGAATGGGATGTCGAATCAATAGGCAAAACTGCTTCTGGTGAGCATTTGTATCGAACAGCCAAAGTCCATGGAAATGAGATTGCAATTGGGGGTTCAGTTCTGGTGGAGGATGTTGGAGCGGATATGCTTCCAACCATATGCTTTGTGGAATACATGTTTGAGAAGTCAAAAGGAAGAAAAATGTTTCACGGACGAATAATGCAAAGAGGGTCCCAAACTGTATTGGGGAACGCTGCTAATGAGAGGGAAGTTTTTCTGACCCACGAATGCATTGATTTAGAACTAAAAGATATCAAGGAAACTGTAGTTGTTGATATACGTTTGATTCCTTGGGGACATCAGCACAGGAAGACTAGTGCTGATGTGGATAAGGCAGATAGAGCAAAAGCTGAAGATCGGATGAGGAAAGGATTGTCTACTGAGTATTACTGCAAGAGCTTGTATTGGCCAGAGAGAGGTGCTTTCTTTAAACTTCCTTATGAGACTATGGGTCTTGGCTCTGGTTTATGCCATTCTTGCCAAGTGAAGAGTTGTGATCAAAATAGGGACTTCTTCAAATTGAATGCATCTAAGACCAGTTTTATATACCAGGGCGTTGAATATTCAATTCATGATTTTGTCTATGTAAGTCCTCATCAATTTGCTGTAGAGAGGATTGGGGGTGGAACCTTCAAGGGTGGGAGAAATGTAGGCCTGAGGGCTTACACTATATGCCAATTGATTGAAGTTCCTGGTAAGGAGGGCTCTGAAGAAGCTGACATTGATTCAACTGAAGTCAAGATCAGAAGGTTCTTTAGGCCTGATGACATATCAGCAGAGAAGGCTTATTCTTCTGATATTAGAGAGGTATTCTGAATAAATTTTCTAAAACAGAAGATAAAAGTTGGTTAAATTTAGAGCTAAAGAATATATGTTCAATTGTTACACTGCACTTTTATAAAAATATAATATGTATATTTTGCTGGTGATGTTTCCAGATTTATTATAGCGAGGAAACACACACTGTTCCAGTATGCATGATTGAGGGGAAATGTGAAGTAAGGAGGAAACAGGATCTCCCACCTGCTGATTTGTTTCCAATCTTTGACCATATTTTCTTTTGTGAATGCATGTATGATCCATCCAAAGGTTCAGTTAAGCAGGTAGCTTCTCTTAACTTGTTTTGACACTAATTTGGTTCTTTCTGAAATTTAAGATTTTTATGGTGCAGCTGTAGTTTGCAGTCAGTTTCATTGGTTTAGAGTTTGTTAAATTTTGTTGTGACGTGAACTGGCTTTATGTACCTCTTCAATAAACACTGATGTATTCCTTCAATATGCAGTTGCCATCTCATGTGAGAATAAGGTACTCAGAAGTCAAGCTGGATGATGCAACTTTGTCTAGGAAGAGGAAGGGAAAAGCCAAAGAAGTAGAAAATGATACAAAGATTGAGCAACATGAGACTTCTGAAGAAAACCGCCTAGCTACATTAGATATCTTTGCGGGGTGTGGTGGCCTCTCTGAAGGGTTGCAGCGAGCAGGCAAACCTTATTTCTCCCTTGCTGCCACTCCAAACAATTTCATAGTATCCCACCCGTGATAGTTATCTTGATGCTCCCTTATTCCCTTCTACAGGTGCTTCACTTACAAAATGGGCAATTGAGTATGAAGAACCAGCTGCAGAAGCCTTTAAGCTCAATCATCCCGAGGCGCATGTATTTGTGCACAACTGCAATGTGATTCTTAGGTGAGATCTGTCTCCATTTGTATATATTCATTTGTGTGAATAACATGAAGACTCATGCCAGGCTGTCTGAAATAACCAATTGGTTTATTTCACTGCAGAGCAATAATGAAAAAGTGTGGTGATGATGAAGATTGCGTTGCAACCCAAGAGGCCTCAGAACTAGCTGCAGCAATGGACGAGAAGGAGGTTAACAGTTTGCCGCTGCCAGGAGAAGTGGACTTCATCAATGGAGGACCTCCTTGTCAGGTTTGTTTAGCCAACCTTGCCTTGCACCCTTTTGTAATCATGGAGTATTAGTTTTATTTGGAACTAAGTGTCTCTTTTGCAGGGGTTTTCTGGAATGAATAGATTCAACCAGAGCTCCTGGAGTAAAGTACAGTGCGAGATGATTCTAGCATTCTTATCATTTGCCGATTACTATAGACCTAAGTACTTTCTGCTGGAGAATGTTAGAAATTTTGTATCTTTCAACCAAGGTCAGACATTTCGCTTGGCTGTAGCTTCACTGCTTGCAATGGGTTATCAGGTAGACATTGTTGTAAACCATTTGAGCATGTGTGTTCTGATATTTCCATATAAAATTTCTGATGGTTTATGAAAATGGGATCACTGACCAGGTGAGGTTTGGTATACTGGAAGCTGGAACATATGGAGTTCCCCAGGCTAGGAAGAGAGCATTCATTTGGGCTGCATCTCCAGATGTGGTTCTCCCTGAATGGCCTGAGCCCATGCATGTGTTTGCTGTCCCACAGTTGAGAATCAACTTGTCAAAGAATTTACAATATGCTGCTGCACGGAGTACTGCTGATGGAGCACCATTCCGTTCTCTCACTGTTAGAGATACAATTGGAGATCTCCCGGCTGTTGTCAATGGGGCCTCCAAACCAAGCATGGAGGTTAGTGCAATTGACACGGTTTCATATTGGCTGCTGCTTGGCCATTATTGTGTTTGATTTTTATCTTTTACATTGTTTCAACTACAGTACCAAGGTGACCCAGTCTCGTGGTTCCAAAAGAAAATCCGAGGGAATGCAATGGTGTTATCTGATCACATTTCAAAAGAGATGAATGAGCTTAATCTGATTAGATGTCAAAGGATCCCCAGACGCCCTGGTTCTGATTGGCGCGACCTCCCAGATGAGAAGGTATTGTTATCATAACTAAACATGGTCATGGAACCATGATTTTAAGGATTCAAATTTAACGAATCTCTTTTTGTCTGGGGTTTGAAGGTGAAATTGTCAACTGGGGAAACAGTGGATTTAATACCGTGGTGCCTGCCCAATACAGCTAAGAGGCACAACCAGTGGAAAGGGCTGTTTGGTAGATTAGACTGGGAAGGGAACTTCCCTACTTCCATAACTGACCCACAGCCAATGGGTAAAGTAGGAATGTGCTTTCACCCAGAGCAAGACCGCATTGTTACTGTCCGTGAATGTGCACGCTCACAAGTAAGTTATCTGTTATTATGAAATTGTAATATGCCTTACTCATGTAGGCGACATGTTGTATGTACGTGTTGTGATTCCACTCTTGGAATCTAAAAAAGTGATTTTGATTTTTTTTATCATACAGATGTTTGTTTAAGTTTATTCATATTAGAATATACTTTCTATAAGTTAGTTTGGCAAGAAGTAATCTGAGTTGGTTTGTGATTTTAACTTTGGTTTTTGAAATATTGTAATGGCAGGGTTTCCCAGATACATATCAGTTTGCTGGTAACATTTTGCACAAGCATAGACAAATTGGGAATGCTGTTCCACCACCGTTGGCTTATGCCTTGGGGAAGAAGCTCAAGGAAGCCATTGATGGTAATAACAAGAGCACCACTTAGCAAATATTCTTCTTCGGAGCCACACTACGTTAACTTGCTACCACTGGTACGGTATTCTTCACGGCAGTTGTAAATTCTTTGTAGTCAAAATCACTCAGAGATGATTTTAGGGCATTCTCATCATTAGTTATCTATACAATTCTCAGTTTCCAAGGAGGTTTTTGATTTTCCTGAATCTTGTTTAAGCACTACATTTGAAATTTGAATTTCACAATGTTATGTACTAACTCTTAACATGCTTTGCAATCATCATGAATTACAAGAGGATGATTGAGCCATTGGAAACTTAGGTGCTTATGGTTTAGATTTTAGACATGACATTCTTATGTGTTTGTCTGGCTTTTCAAATATCTCTTCGTAGTATATCGAGTGCACAAAACAATTGAGAAATTGAAATGAAGGTGGAATGTGGAAACGAAACTGCACCTACCACACTGAACCTGTTTTTTAAGAGTTAAACCTGCAATATTTTCTTCTTACACACATTTAGTTGGACATTGAATAATTGTAAAGGGAGAACAATGACTTTTAATAGTAGATGCAACTTTTTTTTGAATTATAGATTAGGTTGTATTTTGAGTTTAGTTACCCTTTGGCAGGTCTTTTCTCTATGTCTATAATCTAATTATTATGATTGCTCATCAAACACTAATTTCCATAAAACGTAAGGCCAAAGATGCATTCTCAAAAAAAAAAACACACAAATTTAGCTCCTTTTTTTATTTCCTTTAATCAGGTTATTGAGATTTGTTAGAGTATATAACAATCATTCCTGGGCCACAACCACAAGTTTGAGCTTTTGGTTGAATGAGTTCTTTGACATGGTATCAAAGCCTTGATAACCAAGAGGTTACGAGTTCGAAACTCACCGCTACCCAGATTAAAAAAATTAAGGTTTCACGTGCAAGGTTCAAAGAGGTCACGCCTGCACGTGAGGGGGCTTGTTAGAGTATATAACAATCATTCTTGGGCTACAACCACAAGCTTGAGCTTTTGGTTGAATGGGTTCCTTGACAAAATTGACAAGAGTGGGAGTAGTGTAACACTCTTGAGGCAAAAAAGTAATATCTATAGAGATCATCCAATTGAATAAAGAAAACAATAAGAAATTCACACAACATTATATGAATGATGCAAGAGTTACACAACAAGACAAATACAGACACATATGTATGTGATTCACTCCTACAAACATATGTGTCTATTGATATTATATTAATTGGAACACTGGTTGTGAATGAAGTCCTTGATTTCGCCGATGAGCTGTGTAGATTCGGGGAGCTCAGGGAAAAGGTAGAAAGCATGCACCATGTTTGGGTACTCCACAAAGTGGACTTGTTTCCCTGACCTCTTCAACCACTCAAAGTACCTCCTCTGCCAATCCTTGAGAGGATCAAAGCCTGCCGCCACCACCATTGTTGCCGGAAAATCCTCCAGCTTTGATATGTCAGCCGCCCTGGGGCCGCTAACGTTCACCGCCTCGTGGTCCCTGTCGTTGCCTTCCCCCGGGGGCAAAAACGCCTTCCACATCCAGTCGGTACGGACCACTGATATGATGTGATCACATTTGATGAGTGTGTTCTCCGCTGTTGTCCGCTCTTCGCCTCCGAAGAAGGGTTGTATTGCCACCAGCCCAATCACCTTCAATATGTCCATCAGTTTATTGCAAATGAAATCTCCCTTAGTAGGAATTAAAAAAGATAACAATAGACCGAAATAGTAGTCTTATATTTACTTCCATAATCCATAGGAGTGGACCCCTCCTACATTTATTTTTATTCTGGATTTACCCTTTTTTATTTTCCATTGGACCTAATTGATATTGACTGATTTCATTGTCCCACACCCGTTAAATGGGGAACTTGGTGATGAGTTTATATAGCCAAGGGTTCTCCCACTTTAACAGCTAGCTTTTAAGGTGTGGCTCTCCCTTGTGCTGTATCACTAATTTCCTTTCCGTATTTATTATATTATCGTTCCACGCTTTCTACTCCCAAAATTTCTAGTCATCTGGCTGCTGTGCACTTTGGCTTTCTTGTTCTTGTGTATGGATGGCGTTTGCAATTTATAATATAATTGCAACGGCAGTATTCGTTGAATTCCATTGCTCATAACTACCCCTATTGACACAATGCCACGCACACAAATAACATATTGCACTATCGATTAGAAAAAGAAAAATATGACCATAAATACAAGCAAGTTAGTTGTTTTGGAAATTAAAATAGAATAAAATGTGTGGAATTCAAACATTACAAAACATTATCTATAAAAGGTGCAATTTCGTGGTAGTAATACTCTGCCGATGATGGTACTTTAGCGGCAGGGGGTGGAATGTTGCGGTGGTGTAGTGTGACGGCGGAGAGACGCAGTGCAATGGCGGGATATGCATCGTGACAACGACAGTGGCGGCAGAAGGTGGCGGTAAGGTAGCAGGGGAGAGCGTGGCGGTGGAAGGAGACAATGTGGCAGTGGTGCAATGTGGCGGCAGACGGCGGTGGTGTGATATCATAGCGTGGTGGCAAAGGGTGGCGGTGTGGCGTAGTGATGTCCATATTATTGTGTGGTGGTGATCGCAGTGTGGCAGCGGAGGGTGACAATATGGCTGTGGAGGTTGTAATGTGACAATGGTGGTGGTGTTGATGGTAGTGTGGTGGCAGAGAGAGGCAATGTGATTACAGAATTCGTGGTGATGATGACAGTGTGATGGTAGAGGATGGCGGTGTGCAGACAATGATGGTGGTGATTATCGTAGTGTGGCGACAGAGGTTGCAGTGCATTGGTGGAGGTGACAATGTGGGCGTGTTGTGGAGGGTGGTAGTGTGACGGGGGAGGTAGTGGATTTGTAGGTGGAGACACTGGGTGACGAGGGCAAAAAGGGTAAAAATCAACTCATTTTGCTTGGCCCATTCCCACACAAGTAAATAACTAGATAGATCTCCTATTTTGGGTGTTGAACTTCTTTTTATTCATATTTAGGGAGATCTCTCATACTGCAATGTTAAATGTAGTCTTGCAAATGAAATAGTTGGTCCCAAAAACTTTATGGTTCAATGGTACCAAGGTGACTCTTTTGAATGTGAGGTCATGAGTTCACTCTCCAGAAACAATAATTATACTTGTTTCGTCTCACAAAACCCTTCTCATTACTTTTTTCATCTATTTCAATATATATTTTTCATTTCTTTTGAACAGTCACTTTTACCCATACCAAGTTTTAACATACATATCACATCACTTATATTTACTATTAATATACCCATCGCAGCCTACTTTTATCCATCACATCCAAAAGTATTTTTGAAAATTTCATACCAAAATATACTCCCCTTAAATTCTTTAAAAGTTAAAATCAAAAAGATTTTGTGGGACGTACGCAATACAATAATTAGTTATTAGTACAAGAGATGTCAATCTAAAAACAATAATTGTTGGTATATTAGCATAAACAATTACTAACTCTGTCCCAATGTATTTGTCCAGTTTGACTTTTTAATTACTCCAATCTGTATCTTATATATTACTCTCAATTTGTATCACATATTAGCACAATGAAATAAAAATTTGATAGTTTGTAACAAGATTAATCTAATAAAATAATTTTTGTACTAATATACAGTACAAATTTTGTTTAATTCAAGCTCAAAATTCATGGCAGCATTGACAACATGTCTAAGGGTCCATTCCACGGGACTTATTTTTTACTTATTATTTATTATTATTAAAATGAGATCTAATCAGATCAGATGAGATCCAATCTTATCAGACAAGATAAAATTCTATCAGATCAGATAATGACAAAAAATAATAAGAATAATATTAATGTTTTTGAAAGATTAAATAATAATTAATATTCAATTAAATCACATTAGTTTATTTAAAGCTACACACATGTAAATATTAATTATTGTTATAACTTTAAATATTATTATTATGACGATTATAATTATTGTTATTATTATTACTCCATATAATTATACAATAGATGAAGTATTATCATTATTATATCAACAACAAACCATTATTACTAATAAGTGCTTAGCTTGTAGGAATGCTACATGGAAGCAATGTTAGGACTTAAAAAGTTATATATTTCACACTTTAAAGGAGCTGTTTTAAAATACTTGTTTATAGAAAAATATTTGTTTATAAAAAAATTATACAAAACATAATTTTTAAAACCATAAATACTTTTATACTTAAAAATACTCAATTTTAAACTTAAAAAAGTTAAAGTATCGAGTAATAATATACTCTCTTCACTATATAAGAAAAGTTGTGATATTGAAAATATATTTAATATTTCAAAGAAAATGTTTAAATATATTATACTAATGATATGAATTGTAATTCTTTCAAATTTTTAAATTTATTCTAATAATTTTAATCTTAATTTAAATCAAATTTAATTACACCATATCTAATAAGATCAGATCTGATTCATTCATATCAAATTAAATCTAAACAGATCATATATTAGATTCAATCAGAATAGGTCAGATCTAATCAGATCATAATTTCAAAAATTCAGATCAGATTCAATCATATCATGGTTACGGAATAGAACCTAAATTAAGATTTTATGAAGTGCCGAGTACTTGAGTAGTTAAATACTTTTGAGCTTTTAAGAGTAAGCAAGTAACCTATCTTTTCGCTTTCAAAGAGTTATTTTAATTTTTTAATACTACTCAGCTATTACTCCGTTTGCATGTACATGAGCATTATCAAAGTATCAAATATGAATGTTTGGAGTTGTATTTTTGTCCTTAGTAAGTATTCTTAAGTCCCAAATCTCTAATTGCGGTATTGTCGTCTATTACTCCGTTTGCATGTACATGAGCATTATATTAATTTAAACTAATAAAGTAAATTTTATAATTAGTTCTTTATAACAGTGGATTTTTCATATTTAGTTCTCTATCATCAAGTGTTACTCTTTTGGTCCTTCTTTAATGAGTATGTTTTCACAATTAGTCCCTTTAATTTTTTGGTCTTCTTTCTTGTTTGTGTTAATTTGAGGATTAAAAGTGTAAATTCACATGATCATATATGTTTCTTGTCATACACAATTCTAGAAGCAGCTCTTGAGGCATTGTTTGTAAATTGTACGTACTCGCTCTCCACTACAATCATAGTCTACAGATGTGGTCTTTTATCGGAATCCAAGTCCACAGTCATAGTCATTGTTGTTATGTTGACCGTGCATGTAACCGATATTAGAATACGTCATTGGACATAGGATTGATATCAAATTACACTTTAAGCCATCAAATTAACATCAACATGACAGAAGATAAAAAAAACAACTTATGGCCGAAAAAGTACCCATAAAATTAAGGGGTTTTCTTTGATGCCTTCTTAAATTAAGGGGTATGGATGCCCTTCCATTTAGAAATTGCCATGTGGACAAATGACAATAATATTTAAATAAATCTAATTACACTTTGCTATGTGGATAAATGATAAAATGACCCTACCCTCTAAATCATACTCCGTGTACATCGGTCAAGTCTTAAACTACCATCCATTATTATTAATTTAGTTTTTCTTTTTAATACTCTTAGTTCATTGGTTTTTCTTTTTTTCTTCAATATGAGCACATAATTTCTTTCTTTGCATTTTCAAATTTATCCCCCAAACTTGGTTCATTATAGCTACTTTTACTGAAATTGATATTCACACTTCTTCGCCTTATTTAACGAATTTTGAATTTAAATTTTTTATTAAATATGTGTTGGTCCATGGAAAATAAGTGACTTTTGTTTCTAGTTATATTAAATATTTTTTGTTAAATCGTCCTTACAAAAAAATATTTTTAAAATGGTCCTTTAAAATAATTTTTAACATCAATTTCGTACTAAATATATCATAATCTTGCATTTCTACTATCACCAATACAATTTGCATGCTCTAAGTTCTATACTTATTTCTATTACATCTCCAATTTCCATTTCTTTTAGAAATATAGTAAAATAACATTTAGAAATTGAGGAGATAATTTGATACAAAAGATGACCTATGACATGAGAATTGTGTATGAGGGAATTAGAAATATAAAATGAAGAAGTTGAGTATGAAATAAATGTATATCTAGACAAATAAGAAATGTAAATTATATTTAAGAACCATTTTCAAAATAAAAAAAATTATAAGGATGACTTAACAATTTTTTTTACAAAGACCAAAAACAAAAGTCTTCTTTTTTACAGAGACTAAAAACTTATTTAACCCTCAAATTTTTATTAATATGTTTTAAAATTTAAATTGAAATTTCAATTGAATTTTTAATTTTTTAAAAATATTTATCATAATAGTAATAAAAATAATAATAACAATAATTGTGATTACGTACTTCTATTGAAAATTAAAATAAAAAACTGTTCTATACATACTTATTTTAGTATTGAGTAATTTACCTAAATAGGACTAAAACATAATGAATTTCCCAATATAGGACCATATGTTTTTATTTCACAATCTAGAACCTTTGGTTATTATCAAATAGTCATTATTCAACTAAATGTCTATCATTACTAGACATTATTCCTTCCACAAGGTCATTATTAAGTCATATTTAGGGAATAAAAAAGTTTAAGTCCTACATTAGGAAAGTCATTATGTTTTAGTCCTATTTAGTGCAA